TAGCTTTGTGGTTAGCTAGCTAGTCTATGATGAGCCATAATTTAGCAATGGATAACGTCATACTGCAAATTGTAAAACATACATTTTCAATATAACAGGCCAAGGAGAGATGGTATGTCTCATTGCTATAACTGTCACATGCTATTAAAGAAATACTTCAGTTAAAAGGACAGTCAGTCAACTACACTATAACAACGTAACGTTACTATTACTAGCTAATTCCGCTTCACTCTTGGCTTATTTAACAGCAGCAAATCTGGACATGATAGTCACAAATTTTCTCATGCTTATTTGAGTTAAGAGAACTGATGGGGATGTTCTTTTAATTGTTATTCAAACAATGTATGTATCGTGACCAACTCAACGAGTGTTGCCAACAGGGACGGTGTAGAGTGCCCACTGGTGGACAAACTATACAACTCCAACACTCATGACATGGTTCATGTTTTTCGTCCGTTTTTATTTTATTTTTGAAATATTCATTTATCGGCAATTATAACTGCCGATACCGATAGTTTGGAAAATGCCTAATTTCGGCCGATAATATCGGTCTGCCGATATATCGGTCTGGCTCTACTCTATTCCTTCATTGTGTGAAACACATTGTGGTTTTGCATTACGTTTTTGGAGTTGTGGAGCCATCACACAAGAACAGGGTGATAATGTGATATCACGGTGGTAACCTTGACTGAGACTCAACTTTTTGATATTCTTTGTGAGAGATTTCAACAATACTTCAGAAATCCCTGAGAAGAGCAGGATTGCTCTGTAAATATATGGACCTGAGGTCAGTGGTTTCACTTGACTCGTGAGGCGGTTTGAATCCTTTTGCTTGCTAGAGTCTCAGAGGATTTGTGATGTGGCTTAGAGATGGCATGAGTTATAGTGTTAGACAATTCGCGCTGTGTAAACAAACTAAGTGTTAAAGTGTGAACGTGTCTGAGTCGGCCTTCGTGACATGCATGATTCATATCAAACCTTCAGGGCTATTCATCATACATTGAAACATATCTAGATCTATATTTAATTCTCATGTAGTGTTTTGTGACTTGTGAATTATAGAACATGAATGCATGATTTGAAATTCCTAAATGGACGTTTTATTTTATTTATTTATTTTTTTACATAAAAATAAAAGCGGTGACACTATCATTTCAACCTTTGTCGCCAGATACATTTTTAATGTTTAATGTCATGTTTTATGAAATTAAAAGAACAAATATTATATTATTTAGACAGATTATACAATATTTACCTGAGATGCATTTTTAATGTTTTCAAAAATTGCTTCTGTAAACTTTCAGTGATGATGCAAGCATATTGTTGAGTCAGAGCTGATTCATTGATTAAGGTTATAGTAAAACTAGTCTGATAGAATTACGGCTGAATAAAAAGCACATTAACATAAGTGATTTTAACAACGTTCCCTTTTTTTGTTTGGTGTTGTCGGCTTGCAGATTCCGCTTGTTTATTGGTTCAATGCCATTCTCACACATGCTGCGACAAGCATCCCTTCATCTTAACTTGTGTAGTTTATTTGTGAATGAGTGTGTTACACAGACAGGGACAATGGAGCTGTCATTGAGGACATTACTTTGAGCCGTGTTGAAGGTTGATGATTATTTCTCCTGATGTTGTGGGCGCTGGGTTGCATAATCAGATCTTGGTTTACCATGCTCTTCCCCAGAGCATTTTGCAGGCAGTGCTTGCTCTCGCGTCACTGCAGCCTCAGCACAAAGCCCTCTGATGTCGTATTTTTTAGCCGTTGAGACGTCAAGGCGATGAAGGAATGAAAATGTTGCTTTGGATGTTTTGTTGTTTGTGCATATAATAGGGTTTTTGATAACACATTTTTCATAGTGCTTCTTTACAGCCAAATTAATTCCTTTAAGCTTTAAACAAACAGTTTTTCATTTCGTCTTTGATCCATATGTCAAACACTTGAAATGCAACAGAGATTCAGAGAATTATTTGCCAATTCACATTAATATAATTATTGTTCACTTGAAGAAAGACAAATCATATAATGTTCAGCTTTATATTATACTTGAAACCCTGCATACTCACACACTACTAGTTTAACTTATTTATATTAAACTGCTTTTTTATTTGCATTCAATTCCAGGCTCCAGCACAGCGAAGCTTGTTATTTTGACAATTCCCTAAATGGTTTATTAATCCTATGATAGATAAAAAAAAAAAATGTGAGGATATAATTCCATAGCTGTCATAATTTTGGCCGTGTGCTTTATTCCATCATGTTGTTTTCCTTTCATTACAGAACCTTGTGTGCTTTCCTCTGTCTGTCCTTGGGATGTATTTGCACCTCAAATGAGATTGAATGGAAACATTATCTGTTTAAATGTTTTTGTTTTTTTTGCCAATTCAGAAAAAACGAATTGAACATTAATGGTGGATTGACACTGTTCTTTGTGTCGTCGTACTGTATGTTTTGAAATCCGCTGTTCTCCAGGCCTGCTGAAGTGTCAGATTGAATTTAGGCTCCATTTACACCTGTATTAAGATTGCGATAGACGAGGGAGACGAGACACAAACACATTTACAGCTCGTGTCCATGGCCTGATTTCTTTTAGGGGAGGATTTTTTCAGATCTTTCAACCTAATGGACTAAATAAGCTTGCGCAATTTATTATGACATAATTTGCAGCAGTTTTAGTTTCTGCTTTGATAGCTGCAAGACCACGCCGAAATTGGCGAGTTTGTGTTAGAAATCAGGAATGGTGAAGAGTACATTGAGCTTGGTACGTTTTTACATCTTCAAACCAAACTTGGGTCTCCAGCCAAAGTTTAAATCCCAACAGGCAAGCGTGCCTCCCATAATGTTTATGCATTATATATCATTAGGCGGAGAGTAGGCGGTCTTTAATGGCTGTTCGAACATGTGAGCGTTTCCACTACAAAAGCGTTTCCAACTACCTCTGGAAGTGGTCGAATGTGAACAAAATGTTTTAGACCCTGTTTTACAACCTCCACTTGTGGTCCACTTGACAAACGCATCTTAATACCAGGTGTAAATAGGACCTTACTTATGGCTCTTTTCCACTGCATGGTACGACTCGGCTCGACACGGCACGGCTTAGTTTGCTTTAGCTCGGTTGCTTTTCCACTGCAGTTAGTACCGCTTTAAAGTGGGTGGGATTTGGTTAATCGATAACAGCGGTGGCTGTTTCTGGCTATTTAAATCTAGCAGGTTTGGTTTCTCGTGTCGACGTCTATTGGTCGCAAATACAATGACGCTGATACTGACGATTCTGTCTGACCAATCAGTGATCGACCAGTTATCATTTAAAGCGAACCGAAGCGAGCCGTACTGTACCATCCATTGGAGAAGCGCCATTACAGTAGCAAAATTTGGGTGAAACGATCATTCCCAGGTATCATAAGATCAGCAAATTTCAGCCTGTGGCCTGTTTAGTCCTTGTATCTGTTGTCCTGACCCTCATTGATGCTCTTGAGGTCTATGATCTGAATCTGAGTGGAGTTTTGCTTATTACATATAAAATGTAGAAATAAAAAAAAAAATGTCTATGGTTAAAAAAATAGGTAATTTATCACAATTAAAAATTATCACAAAAGTGGCCGATACAGCACAAGCACTATATTCTTCAACCAGAGTCCAAAACCAAACATGTTTTATACTGTATGATCTCAGTAATAAAATAAAATTTGAAATAAAATAGAATTTTGGGTTTCAGAGTCATTCCTTTGTTTCTATGCTGCAGGATGTGAATGCTTTCTATTAGTCTTAGTTTTTTGTTGAAAGATTTATTTTTATTTTTATGTGTGTCATGGCTCCGTCCCATTGACCTGTTCTCCTGTAATAAGCATTTGCTCCCTGACTGTCTGCCATCAATTACACCGTAATATGACATCGAGCTCCGCAGAGTCCGTTCGGCCCACTCCGGCATGCTTCTTCCTTAATTAAAGTGTAGGGATTGGTCTCGGAGGACAATCCTGTTAGATTAGACCTTATCTGCTAGGCGGATGATCCCGGGATCTCATCTCAGTCCCCAGATTGATTTCAGGGAAAAGCAAAACAAAACACTCAACAGTCTGCTGATGTATATTCTCGAGCGCTTTGTTACGATTATTTAACTTATGTTAGGCATCTGATCTTGAAGTCTTTCCATCTCCCCAGATGTCCAAAGTCTTTTGTATGTGATTTTAAAAAAAAAACGTTTTTATGTGATATCAATACTTGTGAGGACTACTAGGTTAGTGTGTAATAATGGACATCAGGTTGTTGTTGTTGTTAGTTTTACACCGTGTTCTGGCTGACTAGAGCTACTGGGTGGAGAGAAACCAAGCAACCAAAAGAATGCGAGTGCTTAGTTAGGACATGAACATTTCCATAAAAACAAAGAGACAAAGAAAAATAGATATTAAGATGCATTGTCAAGGTTTCTAGAGTAGGGGTATGTAACCAGAAGTATTTTTTTTTTTTTTTTTACAAGTTCAGAGCACTTTTTCTTTAGCTTTCTCAGTCTCTCCTTTTGCCACCTGCATTAAAAGTGTTACTTCAATGTGATCACATGACAAGGAAATGCTTTCAGTGGCTCTTTTGCTTTTCTATTAACGCAGTGGGAGTTTGGAAGTCATTGTAAATAATTTAGTGTGATATGCAAGGTAGAGTTGCTCTATAGTACAAAGTGAGCAGAGAGATAGAAAATTGATTTCCAGTGTTTACATTTAATGGTGACTTCTTAATGAAAGGGTGACCTATAAAGGTGCAAAAACTGCACATGAGTGCCAAAGCAGGATCACATGACAGATGGTTACTTCATTGTGGTTCAAGGCGTTCTGTGATTGAAAGAACAATTAAAGTTTTTTTCATTGAATTTAATGACCTGGATCCCATATTTATTGCCATTTTAGACCAGAGGCTGTTCATTTGAGTTAATTTGAACCCTTTTAAAAACATTGTGAATAGTTTTCCATCATCCAATAATGCAATTGTCTCTCTTTTTCTTCTTTTCCAGTGAGCAGAGTATCTGTCAGGCGCGGGCTGCTGTCATGGTATATGACGACGCCAATAAGAAGTGGGTTCCGGCTGGTGGATCCACAGGCTTTAGTCGAGTCCACATCTATCACCACACTGGCAACAACGCCTTCAGAGTAGTCGGCCGTAAAATTCAGGACCACCAGGTAAGAGAAAGCGGGAGATGTGGTCTCCAATGAGTTGACAATTATTAAAAAGCATGATGGATTGACAAATAAATGCTCTTCACAGGGTAGGTCTGGGTATTGACACAAATTTCACAATTCGATTCGATTTCAATTCACAAGCTTGCAATTTGATTTCGATTTAATAATTGATTGTTTTGGATATCAGGTAAAATAAATGTGGCTGTCATAAAAAACTTGCCAGATTTAATCAAACATGCATTAAATATTGAAGAACATAAAAAATAATGAATATGTAATTTGGTGCATATATTTAGCTCCTCTCTAGAGTTAATTTTTTCTAGCTGACTAATGAGTTTATGGTCACTGGATGTTGTTTTTCTGAGGTAAATGTGATGTTGCATGACATTTACAAGCTGTTTTACTGACGTCTTTCCACGGTTGAAACACTGATTGAGCGATTCCATGTGACATGATATGGATTTCAATAAGTTTTACTCTATCTTTTAACACACTTTCAGGTGCTCAGTCATGTTTATTTCATAAGGTGGTTCAATAAGGTATTATTAAGGCGGAAGAGAAGATCACGTGTGCTCCATGCTACTGCTTCTCTTGAGCTGAACAGCGCCAGAGCGGCATTTATGTTTTTGAATTTCATAAGAAAATTGACGAAATTTGAAATCTGAGACTTTGTTTCATATCAATAGAAACAAAACACAAAGATTATTGCAAATTTATTGGATAGGATGCGCGCTACAATGTCCTAGTGATTCATCAACTGAAAACAGGATGACTAGCCTAATCGATTCTTGGGATTTAAGAATCAATATCGGTTTGTAAAAATGAGAATAGATTAAAATCGAGAAATCTATTTTTTTTACCCAGCCCTAGTAGAGAGGTCAATATTTAGCCTTAGTTTTATTTAAATGTTATTTATTGATACATATTTTTTTTAAATTTAGATTAATTATATAATCATTTTGGTCCACATTTCAAGATATTTTTAGGCATTTATGTTGCACTTATGCGTTATTTTTAATGTAGATATTTGCAATTTTAAAATAGAATGGCTTTAAAAAACAAGAAACCTCAAATTAATTGGGCTTATATTTTATAATATTTATTTATATTTTTATATTTTCTTAAAAGTCCCCCTATAAAAGACCTAAAAAGTCCCCCTGTAGTAAAAATCAAGCTTTAAAGGAACACTCCGACTTTTTGGGACTTTAGCCTATTCACCTTACCCCCCAGAGTTAGATAAGTCCATACATATCTTTTTCATCTCCGTGCGTGCTATAAGTCTGTTTGACGCACCCACCGCTAGCCTAGCTTAGCACAAAGACTGGATGTGACTGGTTGCAGCTTTCATACTAATCCAAATGAGTGACAAAATAACGCAAACGTTTTCCTATTTACATGTTGTGGTTTGTATAGTCACAGAGTGTGCAAATATCAAGGCCATATGAGACACAGACATCTTTTAACCGTATAAATACTATATTTTCTGAAGGGGATCAAGCACTGCTACTTGGGCAGAGTGATAACAATCACCTGAGACGCACCGTGACGAGGAGCAGAGAGTTCGCTTCGCTCAGCGTTGGAATAAAGAGTCAGCAATTACTAACGTTAGATAGAAAAGCATAGTTTATCATGGGTGTTTGCTTTATTGTATGAGCTGTGACAATAAACAGGGGAGACCAGGTAATACAGTACCATGTTTCATTGATTTCCAACCAAAAACGCACCCAGATTTATAAATATCATGAATAAATAATTATTATTACAGGAATCAATATATTTTAAATGCAATTTATTAGCTGAACCAAATGTATTCAACAGTAGCCTATATAATATACAGTATTGCATTACTATAGGATAGAATAAGGGGAAAGTAATAGCACAAATTGTTTTTGCACAATGAACTCACAGCCTATCGTACCCTTTTGCACGCTCAAGTTCGTTATTTCCATGGTTATTTCAAATTTAGGCTACTAGGCGCGCCGCGCAGGGTGCAAGTTCAACGCGCTCGTTTTTTTCCCCCAAGCGCGTCCGCACCGCATCAAGATAAAAACATATTCATACCCTAATCATATAATAGTGTCACTAACGTTACATTAGATCTGGCTAAAGGCACTGTTACAGTAGGTCATCTAAAAACATAACGGAACACTTACCTCAGCCGCAGGTGATCCACTTGTCCTTTCTGTGCTATCGATGGGATGGCCGTATCCTTCAGCACATTATGGTCCGTGTGGCAAATTCCATTTTTTCAAAATAGTCGTCCTCATTGAAATGTACCGAGCAAACATAATGTCCCTTGATAATCTTAGGTGTGTTTGGATAAATATCCAGAGTAAGTTAGCCATTTCTTCATCCAGTCAGCGTTTTTAGTTGGAATTCTGTGAAACATGGTTACCTCCCCTGTTTACTGTCGCAGCTATTTACAATAGAGCGAAAACCCATGACTCTAAACTACGCTTTTACTATTTATAAATTGCTGACTCTATTACCCAAACACTGAGCGAACTCTCCGCTCCTCACCACGGCGTGTCTCCGGTGATGCGGTTATTACGCCGTCAAAGTAGCAGTGCTTCGCCTTCAGAGAATAGTTCCCAGGTTTTATACGGTTAAAAGATGTCTGTGTCTCATTTGACTTTGTTATTTGTACATTATGTGACTATACAAATCACAACATGTAAATAGGAAAACGTTTGCGTTATTTTGCCACTCATTTGGATCAGTATGAAAGCTGCAACCAGTCACATCGAGTCTTTGTGCTAAGCTAGGCTAGCGGTGGGTGCGTCAAACAGACTTATAGCACGCACGGAGATGAAAAAGGTATGTATGGACTTATCTAACTCTGGGGGGTAAGGTGAATAGGCTAAAGTCCCAAAAAGTCGGAGTGTTCCTTTAAATGTGGTTGAAATGTCTGTGTGGTGTTTTTGATTTGCTTTCAGACAGACCAAGTGCAAATTAATATGTCAACACCATTGCTGAGTATTTTCTCCTTAAAACTGCAGTGAACTAAAGACCGTTTCAAAACGCGTTTTAAAATCGCTGGTGTTTATGACTTCCTAATCTGTACCTTATAACCAAATCATGTCACGTGTGATCCTCAGCAAGTGAATCTCTTTGAGTGAGTGGAGGCGGAGCAAATTTTTACATTCATACCGTACGTATACCAGATAGCAAACTGACATTGAATCAACGTGGAAACGACGTTGATTTTGCTCATCGAATTAACGTTGAACCAACGTCAGTCGCGGCATTCTTCAAAGCTAAATGAAAATCGAAAATTGGTTTGCTTTCATAACGTTGAAACAACGCGTTGATTTCAAGTTGATTTTCCGTTAGTTTTGAAAGAATGATGCGTCTGACGTTGGTTCAACGTTAATTCGATGAGCAAAACAATGTCAGATCAACGTTGTTTCGATGTCATGTTTCTACGTTGATTCAATGTCAGTTTGCTATCTGGGATATTAAAAGTGGCAAGCTTGTACTGTAGATTTACAATCAAATTATTTAAAGGCAAGTTTTTTTTTTTCAAGGACATTTTTTTAAATATCTCATTTTGGTGATCAAACATGAGTTTTAAGGGATACAATTATCTATGGGGGACTTTAACAATAAAGTATAGCTATTGCTGCAAATTTATTGTGAATATTGTCACAAGTGGCTGTTTATTAGAATCTAGTCTGATATGAACGTCGTAAAGGCAATCCTCATCCAGTGGGTTTAACTGAGTCTCGTCTGCTTGGCCTTGTTGGCTTCCCCTGCAGAGAGGGCTCCGGTTTCACTGCGGTGCTTTGATGACCCATGACACCGAACACGGGAGGTTTGAGAGGCTCACAGATCAGCGCAGCGTGGTGTAAAGAGAATAACATCTCATGAGAAATGCTCCTGTTCTTGTTGTGATTACAGGAACGTTATGCTTTTTGAAAATGCTGTTCATTTTTCCTTTTAGTGATTCATTGTTGTATTTCAAGGAAGAGATCAAAATTCTCGTCATTTACTCGCCCTCAATTTGAGTACGGCTGTCTTTTTTTTTCTTTCTGTGAAACATAAAAGGAAGAAATGATAAATGATCAAGAATGTACTGGCTATTTTCTTTCTCAAATGATGAAAGTGGATAAGATGAATAATGTCCAAAATGATCAAACAAGTGATCCAGATGTTAAATGCTCCATCAAAATGAATCTTTCTTTTGCTACATGGCGCCATAAACTTCAGAAGACTTAATATAGTGCACAAGTCATGTGGACTACTTTTGTGGTGCTTCTTGTGTGTTAGCCCAGGTCACTTCCACTTTTATTCTCTGTAAAGGAATGGCCTCTTCTCCTTTTGTGTTCCATAGAAGAAAGAAAGTCATGATGTAAATGATACTTTTTTTGTTTTTGTATCATAATCACATTCCTTAAGATAAAAGGCTACATGCTCTGAACAATACTTTTCTCCTGTTCAAGATTTGGGAATGTTGTTTTACTTAGAGTGACCTTGACCTTTTCTGTCTTGGTTTTTTTTTCTTCTAGCTATTAATTGATCAAGCACTCAATCTATTTCTTGACCTGACACTGAATATGCAAAGATGTATGGGTCAAACAGAAATTAAAAAAGGTCACCAAAACTTTATTTCTAAAGCATTAATAATACTGGATTAGTTATACCCCATAGCTACTGTATTAAATGGAAATGGTACAAAAAGTCTGGATTTTAGGTTCTGTACAAGAACCCTTTCTGTGTTTAGGAAGCCATTTGTCTCTGGGTTTAAGGTGGCATTTGCTGAGATTAACTATAGCTCTTTGGTCCCATTATAAATGCTATTAACATGTCTTATATAAAACCATGTTCACATTCAGGAAACATGGTGTGGCTGTAAAAACTGTTATGAATGCTTCTAGGTTGAGGGCATATTACTGATTTTTATTGGTGGTATTTAAAAGTTCATGACATCTACTAAAACATCTACACACATGTGTGTGGTATGTGCTGCTTTAGTAACTTTTTAACCTGTCATCTTTTTGTGTATTTTGTGAACTCCAATATGTAGTAGGAGAGACTTCATTAACTGCCCCATAACAACTTCTAAACACTGACCATGGGACCTTGTTTTAATGCATTTTCGTTGCAAAAACTAAATATAATATATGTAATACAAAATATAATATACATGTATATATATATATATATAATTATATACATTTTTAAGTGATAGTCCTTTTTTTTCCCCCTGAGGTCCACTTATAATACATAATTCAAGGTTTCATGCATCAAAAGTTTTTTTTTTACTTTTTACAAAACATGCTTATGTTTAATAATTTGAATTATCCATTCTTTTTTTAGGCCCAATAAAGTTGCTGCTGTCCCATCCCATCCCAGCCTTTTTGTAAAGTCTACATTATATATTACCTGACATCAAGGACGTATTTGTATCCTGATATAACCAAGTCCATTATATCCTTGCCAGCCAATCATTTTCTCTATGAAGGTTACTCCGTGAAGGCTGTGTAAGATTGTGTCTTTAAATAGCAAGTCTTCAGCTATGTTGTCACTTTGTTGAACCATTTTTTAGTCTGGAATGTCCAGCTGTTTTCTTTTTATCGATTAAAGGAGTAGTTAACTTAAAAAAAAACTTTTGCTGATAACTTACTCACCCCCATGTCATCCAAAATGTACATGTCTTTCTTTCTTCAGTCGAAAAGAAATTAAGGTCTTTGATGAAAACATTACAGGATTTTCTCCATATCTTCCTTCAATGGGAACCAAACGGTTCAAGGTCCAAATGAGAGTTTCAGTGCAGCTTCAAAGGGCTTTAAACGACACCAGACGATGAATAAGGGTCTTATCTAGCGAAACCATCGGTCATTTCAAAAATAAATAAAAAAGTTTACGCTTTATTAGCACAAATGCTCGCCTTGCTCTGTTCTGTAATGAGCGTTCGTGACTCTCCTGTTCAAACTCGTTCGTCAAAATTAACAAATCTTTTTTCGAGTCATGACTCAAAGGGTCCTAGATAAGACCCTTATTCTTCGTCTGGTGTTTCTTCTTGTTTCACAGAAACTACACTTCACCTCTGCCTACTAAATTTAGAGCGTTTCATATCACGTAATTCACTGCTGGCTACATAATGCATATGAGTTTAATTAGTGTCTGGCTCGTTCTTTCTTTATCTGTTCATTTTCTGTGAAGAAATTACATTTACATTTATTTAGCTGACGCTTTTATCCAAAGCGACTTACAATTGCTATATATGTCAGAGGTCGCACGCCTTGATCAGGGACACATTGGTGTCTCACAGTGGATTCGAATCCGAGTCTCTCACACCAAAGGCATGTGTCTTATCCACTGCGCCATCACCACCCCATTAAAATTAAATTAACCGTTAAAGAAGCCTTTTTCTTTTCCTTTGTTTGGATGAGGACACTTTTCTACACTTAAGTGAAGTGCAAGGTAATGTGCACTTACTGGTAACCTTGACTGTGGTTGTCACTCCCTGCTACACAAAAGGCAGAAATGCTGAGGGGGTGATGACACTGTACATGACTCATTGCTATTTTATGGTTATTCAGTGTTTCCTGAAAAGCCTATTTCTGCCTCTGAGAGTAGCTAGGCCATTTTAGTCCTGGTTACGTTAATAATTCATGACCGGCACAATCATCACAGTGATATCTGAGGATGGAGTGTATCAGATTACTTCAGGAAACTTACTGACATTTTGTTGATGAGCTATTCATGGTGGTTTAATGACCGAAATGAGTAAAGCGTTGAAGTGCCGCTCACAAGGCAAATGTCAACACGCATTTTACATTAGACCTATGATAATAGCCTTGTCATCTATATATAACTGACTGTCTTCAGATCTATACCTGCAAGTGTGCCAGTAACTAGTCATTTAGTAGACACTTCTTAGCACAGAATTTAACACTCCATAGCTGAGTAGCGCTCATCAGAAAACAAAATGCATTGCCAGTGGTATATTACACATATATGTGTGTGTGCGTAATATATATTACATGTATTTACACATTTAAAAATATACAAAAATACAAAAAACATAGTTGCATATATAGAACCATAGCCCAGTTTTTAATTCCTGTTGCTCAGTTTCATTAATGTGTTGAGAAAACTGAGAAGTTTTCTGCACTTGTCAGTTGTGACAGGATGGCTTACAGTTCACAGTTCCTTTTATAACGCTTGCCAATTAGTTGCACTTCTTATGATAATTACATTGATGTCAAAAGGATGAGAAATTGAAATGACTGGGAAAACAGCCAGTTACCACAGAAGCTTCGAGAAAGATTCACCCGGTTGAGGACATGCTTTTGGGAGAGTTTAAGAAGTCAGTCAAGCGTTTGATATTTAAGTATCTCCCAACCATTTGCAGTTACCAGTTAGTGTTAATGCTGCCTGGAGCCGAGCTGGCCTCAGCAACCTTTGTGAAACTTATAAAGAAATGCTTTTACTTTTTTGTTATCTACAAGAATAGAGGTGCTGCGTGCAGCAGTTTTTCAATCTCAAGTTCGTCCTTGTGAATCTTTTAGAGAACGAGCCTTGGTTGCTGAAGTGCACTGTTATCTGTCATCTTTCAGTAATGCTGATGTTTCTGCTTTGTGGTGGTTTATTGAGAGGTTTTAGAAGTTTTTTTTACTTGAAACTGTTTTGAAGCCTCGCATTTTAGCGGCTTGATCTCATGAGTAACTTTGAAAATGTTTTTGCAAAACATGGAATATGTTAGCCTTGCTAAACACGAGTTTTATTAACATGAGCAATTCCAGTACAGATGATTCTTTAAAAGGAATAGTTCACCAAAAATAAAAAGTCTGACATCATTTACTCTTTCAGAAGACACAGAAGACATGTTGAAGAATGTTAATAACCATACAGTTTGCTGTCAACACTCAACTGTTTGGCTACCCATATTCTTCAAAAAAATCTTCTTTTGTGTTCAGACGAAGAAAGTAATTCAGGTTTGGTTCAGAACAACTTTAGGGTTAGAAGATGACCAAATCTTCATTTTATGGGTGAAATATCCCTTTAATATGCTTGAAAACATTCAATTTAATGTGTGTGAACTGTGTTTAGTGCCATTTTACCTGTAAATTTGTATAGACTGCTTCCTTTTGGCTTATTAGCGGATATTAGCTTCAAAGTCGTCTGAGCTTTTGAGTTCAGTTTGGACTGGAATTTATATATGCTGTATATTCTCTTCTGTCAACAGGTGGTAATAAACTGTGCCATTCCCAAGGGGCTGAAATACAACCAGGCCACACAAACGTTTCACCAGTGGCGAGATGCACGGCAGGTGTACGGCCTTAACTTTGGCAGCAAAGAAGATGCCAATGTATTTGCCAGTGCCATGATGCATGCCCTGGAGGTGCTGAACTCTCAGGATGCAGGTGAGAATGCGGTTTTCACACCAGCTTGCAAAGCTTAATGATGTGTGAATTGTGTGTACTGGCTTCTGTGTTACAATACTATTACACTGCATTCCAAAAGTGAAAGTCGGACACTTCGGAAAAAATCATATAAAGAACATTCTTGGAACTATTATAAGCAATTCTGCAGAATAATCTGTTTAAATCTGTATTATTATTGTTTAATTAAAATTAAGATAAGTAAAAAAATGATTTTAATAAAAGTGCTACATTTCTTGAATCCATTAAAATGGCTGAACAAATATACACTGATACAAGTAATTATGTGGTGAAGTAAATGCGACAGAAAATGACTAATGTAATTTCTACATGAAAAAGTTAGTTCAGGCAAGAATAAAAACAAAACCAAGGAAATTCTAAATTTGTTCTCAATTCAAGCTTTAGATGTAGTGTAAGTGTAAAATAAAATGAAGTAAAAACTACTCAACTTTTCTAGTACTGGTATTTCCACCATGCACTGGAGCATGAATAATTAATAAGCTTGATTTCACTGTTTTCCAGCTGTATTTACATCATTTTATCATAGCTTTAGTTGTTAGGTTTGGTAACTTGCCATTTTGTGACATCTGGATTCATTTTCTACTCAAAAACGATCTATCGAATGTTACCGTCATTGTATATTGTGTACCAAGTATTGAGGAGTCTGTGTTGGATGCCATGTTACTATTTATTATTTAGATACAGTATGGAATCTATACAATTTCTATTGTATTATTATATTATATTATATACTTCTATATGTTTCTTAGTAAAGCATGCACTTTAAGTCGACAAATTCACTTAACTTACAGTAGTTGATTTGACCTAATTCTGTATGTGAAATTAAATAAATCAAATATAATTGACTTAATTTCTTCAATTAAATGTTAAGTGTCAGTCAAATGAATGTTAAGTTCAGTAGTAAGTACTCTGTAAAAAACCTGGTAAAGTAACCTGGTTGCCACAACATTTTAAGTTGATTGAACTGGAAAAAGTGAGTTAATACAATGAAGGAGATTAATTTAATCATCAGAAACTCAAAATAATAAGTTATCTCAACTAAATAAATTATTTAAGTTTATCTGACAAAAAAAAAGTTATAAAAAATATTTTTTTACAGGCTTGATAATAACAGATATAACTTGACAATAACAGATAAGTTGTACAGAGCAGTAACAGTAAAATTTACTTTAAAATTTCGCCGGGGCTTCATGAGGTCTACTGCCTCTAGCTTTATACCTGAGGTAAAGCTGTGGCCTACATCATCCTGGGAAAGACATAAGGAAGGGAGCACAAAATAGCTTAAAACGCATTATACCATGGTCTGGGTGAATACTCGATTCTGATTGGCTGCAGGGTGTCCGTTAAAAAGTGATAGAGGACACCTAGTAAAGTAGTTCTGGTGAAACTGCCTGTTTACCATTCGAAATGAATAAATAAATGCGCTGCCCACAACAGCTGTGAGTAACCATAGCAACAGGCAGTCAAACGTCAAAGTATCCGTTAACAATTTGCTCTATCAAACAAACATCTAACGTTAGTTAGATATTACATAGCCTACTAATACAACAATGAGCGGCGACTTCGTTATTTCTTTTAACATTTATGGAGAATATGACAACTTTGACGACTGGGATGCTGCTGAAGAAAGAAAAATGTAAATGAAACGGAGAAACGTCGCAAAGAAAATTACACCGCTGCTGCTCTGAATGAGACCCTGCGGGAGTTTTACGCAGCAGTCCAGACAACCAAGGCAGGAGGAGAGTACAGCGTTTCAAGCCTAAGACGCCTGTTTGATTAATTATTTTATGTGTAATTAAAAAAATAATAATAACTATGCCTACCTTTGTGTTTCATGAAAAACAAAAAATGCATTTTTGAACCTGAAGGGTTCTACAAGCTAAATAAACCAGGCGAGTTATTATTTGTAAAAACTTGATTTAGCCTAATTAAAATATAAACTAGCAGCTAATGTTTTAAAAATGTTTTATTTGGCAAGTGACCATGGTATAAGCGGGTTAATGCCCTTCGAGGTGTCCATTGTCAGGTTTTAATGGACTTCGGCGGAGGCAACCGTCCTCCGCTGCACGTCGGCCGGTTCACGCCTCGCCATCGTCCATTAAAACCTGACAATGGACACCTCGTCGGGCATTAACCCTTACTTAAACTGCAGTCTGCAATTTTTCCTCTTTGTCGCCATCTCTGTTCGAAATCTGCAATTGCAGTCATTCGCAGAATTATCAACTTTAAGTGAGTTGTACTTCAACACCCTCGACACGGCACACGAATGAACACAATGTTTGAGAAAAGTGTGAGGCTGTCAGTCACCGCACCGATGTTGATACTGCCATTCAGAATCACAAATTATTCTTTTTAGAAATATGACCAACATGAGAATTTTCACTGGAAAATGTCATCTAAACTAGTAAGTAACATCCACTTTTGTTCTGGTTCTGATATTGCAGTAAATCACGCCGATTAAATCTAAAAATCGCTTATCATATCACGCTAACACGTGCAAATTATACTTTGTTCTCAAATTGTTAATGTCAATGTAATGTCCTTCCGATATGTATCCTTGTTTTCGCATGGATCCTTTTTTTCTGTAGCCACTCCGAAGTCCGAATGAAGTCATTTTGCATTTCACATTGGGTGAGATTTTACAATCTCACCTATTGTAAAACAAACTTTGTTGCATTATTTTCCTGTTATCTCTGTAAAGCTGCTTTGAAACGATCTCGATTGTAAAATGTTTGAGAAGAGTGTTATAAATAAATGTGACTTGACTTGATGCTACAGATTACAAAATCTTTAAAATCTTTGTTTTTTTTTATGTCAGACACCAAATCTATCAAAAACAGTCTAATTAGTAAATGTTCTATTACTGTTTTGTGTTTGGTGCTGGTGAGCCCTGCAGAGTTTAATTTTGGTCTGGTCTCTGTCCAGTTAGTGAGGTCACATTTGGAGCCAACTCAGCCTATTGTGCTCAATTAATTGTAATTTCGCAAACGGGGCCTGCTCACAGGGGGGTTTGTATTGTATGTGCTTTGTTTATGAGAGAGAGAGTCTGGGTTACCTCTGTTTGTGCTGATTGGGTTTAGGGCGAAGTGTCTCGGCCCATGAATAGCAGTCCGCTTGAAATCCATTCAATGTAGTGGTTGCGTCTACATGTGCTCACACACGTGTCGTTTTCTGCCCTTTTCCCTCTGCTGTCTGAGACCTTGGCCCGGTCACAGCAGGGGGTCATCCACATACCGAGCTCAATGTTCTCAGCGTGGCAGGGGAGTTCATTGCTGAGGTTGTTTGCCTTTAGAAACAGATGATGCTTTGTTGTGCGGACTGGACTCTGCTTGTCTCTGAGATATGGCTGATCAGTGAGTTCTTAACTGTTGCATATTGAGCTGCTCTCTGTTCCGCAGTGTATCACAATAGTAAGGTCATTCTGTCAACCCCATACTGTGTTTGAGGCAAGGATGCTTTTTAAAGGATCGTTTGTATTGATTTGAGCAAAAGTTGGATTTCTTCATTGGAAAACAATGTTTAAGGGATGCATAGAAGAAATATCAATGTCAAAGTTTGATTTTTGGCTTGTACACCTATATGCTATAAATTAGACATGGCATCTGAGGACTAATTCTTCTTTTTATCAGAATTGCTTTATTTCCAGATTCGTTAGAACTTGAAACTACTTTGATGCTTCATAAAGAGATTGTAAAACTAATCCATATGAATTGAGTGGTTTAGTCCAAATTTTCTGAAGATAAATAAAAAGTCTTATGGGTTTTGGAATGACATGAGTTATTAATGACAGAATTTTCATTTTGCGTGAACTATCCCTTTAAGTCCACATGTCATAGAAACAAGAAACTATGCTTCTAACCGCAGGTCGAGAGCTGTCGTTCCAACCACACAACTTTGCAATGCTGTTTGCAAATGTTTGTTAGAACTATTGATTTTGACTTGACTATTGATTGACTATTAAACTATTGATTTTGGGAAAAGCAGTCCATTTGAGAGTTTGTTTGACAAGGTTCTGGGCAGTTATTACAGTATCATTATTTTACTACTATAGTATTTGTTAGTATTTTTAATTAGATTTAATTTGAGTAATTTATGTTTATTTGTCTTTTTTTAATAATATTTCCGTTACAGTTTATTACAGGTTTTCATTTCAGTTAGTTGCCAAGGCAACATTTCTAATTTTCTTTTAATTTCTAATTTTCTAATATTTATATTTTATTTTATATTGAATAGTTTTAGTTAACAATAAAACTGGTTCTAAGCAGCGTTAAAGTTAAACTAACTATTTAAACTAACTAACTTTTCTCAGTAGCATGACGGCAAGTCACCTCTTTTCAAAATAATTGATCCTGCCCAGTAACAAACTATTTTTTACCCAATGAGTAGTAATGCACAGTAACAATCAAATCTAATAAAATTAAAATGTCTCTTTTTCAAATAGTTCAGTCAGTGAGTCAATTCGTTCGGATAATGATTCACTGATTCATTTGATTCACTCGGTTGTGTTCCTTGAATTTGCTGAACAGCATTTCTTTTTTTTTTTTTTGTAGGTAATGTAAATTTAGAATTTGTCCATCAAATTTGACCACCACAGTGTTTTTGTTTGTTTGTGTAAAAGTACCACTATAAGAATTTGTTGTGCTTTCCACAGTTCTGTTTTTTTTTCCTTTTTCTTTGAGAAGGGAAAAAGGGAACTTGTGAGATCATATTCATTCAAGCAATGCAGAAACTGTGACTGTTGCCATTTTCCATGACCTTCAGTTCTTTGTCTCACTAATCTTGCTATGGAAAGTTATCTAGTCACTGCACTTGGCTCCTGTTATCGCCACAGGAAGCTGTGGCCTTATTACTGTCTATTAATTACCTGATAGCACGGCAGTTAATTATACAAAGCGATGTTAATTATGCATACTTTGCTGACTGTTGCGATCCAAAAAACAGTGAATTAACTATGTAAAATG